AGAGAGAGAAAGAGAGAGAGAGAGAGAGAGATGGCCCGAGTGACGAGGAGGGTGCAGGAGAGGATTTTGGTGGCTGTGGTCGTTTTTGCTCTGCGGCTCATGGAGGACKCTYGGAGGTGTGTGGAGTTTTTGGGTATYCAATCTYGTAGACCGTTGYTGGGAAGCARGGGGKCCACATACAAGGGGAAGGATCGGATGGTGTTCAGGAATTCTGACTTGTCCAACATGTCAKGGTTGTGGCAGTGGCCACTGTTGATAGYTGCGRCGGGTCTTCWACCACRACARTCCCCACGTTGGTGGGTAATGCRGCGTTCACGAGGATTGTGGAGGGATCTGGAAATCAGAGATGATGCTGAGGATATCCATTACATGTCGTTACTGCGGATGCATCGTCAGACTTTTGATCGACTGCTGGATGCTCTCCGTCCATACCTGCAGCGTTGTGTGACTAGATTCCGTCGTCCGCTTGATCCTGCTCGGATTYTAGCTTACGCTATTCACCGGTGGGCGCATGGGGACAATTACTGGCACAGCAGTTCCGCTTTTGGGTTGGGAAAGACGAGTGAGATAAGGGCGATACGTGAGCCGGGTGATCTCATTTGGCGACTACTGTAAACGACATAGAACGATGGAAGCATATGCGCAGAAGGGGTTCCCCAATTGTTGGGGGTGCATTGATTGCACACACATGTATGTGGACAAGCCAAAAAACCAGAATGGGGACGAGTACTGCTCGGGGCGCACTAAGCGTTTCTCCATCGTCGCGCAAATCGTCTTCGATGAGGATCTTCGGGTTTTGGATCTCAACTGTGGGTGGCCGGGGACTGTGCATGATGGTCGCATCCTACGGAATTCGTCATTGTTCAGACGGGCGGAGAGTGGTCAGCTGTTCGTTGATGATGTGAATGACCCGTTTCGCCATCTTCGTGGCACTGTGCCCGGAGTGACACATGGTTATCTATWRGGCGATGGCRGGTACCCCCTATTGCCATGGATTGTCACTCCATACGGGCGGCTCAAYGCAGCAGGGGCTATTGCAGCTTTTGACGGTCATTTTAAAGTTGTCAGATCGGATGCTGAGAGAGGGAACAGTCATTTGAAGCTTCGTWATCAGCTGTTTCATAGAACTCACATATGTCACTTGGAAACGGTGTCCGATCAGTTTCGCACCATCTGTATTTTACATAACCTCTTACTGGACTGGGGCGATCGTGCGGATGACGACATGCTTC